TTTGGCTGGTGTGAAGTGGAGGGAGCTGGCAGCACAGTGGGGAGTGGGGTGAGCATCACCCCACAGGCACGGGCTGGAGCACATGGGCCAGGCTGTGCTGCTGGGGAGCATATCCCGATCTTCTCCTTTTATGGTGGTTACCTCTTGGGTTTCCAGTACTTTCCTTTCTGTTCTGTATTGCAGTGGGACTTTAAAAACTGGGTATAAGAAGTTAGTGGTGATAGGGACTCCAAGGACTCGTTGTGTTTCGAGGGGGTGAAGGGACCTGAGTTCCTGTGGGGTTTTCCATCTCGGTCTGTGTGGGGCTTGCTGGGGATGCTCTCCCATGAAGGACATGCCCTGAGCCTGATCCATTCCTCTGCTCCATGCTAAGCTTTATACCCAGAGGCTGGGAAGGTGCCACAGGAGCAAGGCAGAGGGCTCATTGCTCTGTGGGTGCTCTGCAGACAGCTACCCCAATGGGGCCACTGTTGCTGTGGCTGCCCTGAGAGGCAGCAACGCTGTGATTCGGGGATTAAACCTTTGCCTGCTGGGTGTTCAACCCAACCATTCCCATGCTGAGCCGGGCCTGGCGGGCTCTGGGAGCGGGATAGCAGGAACGCCTTCCGTTTGCCTTGTTTATCCTGAGCAAAGTGCAGGCAATAAACGCATCTCCAGAAGTCAACTGCTCTCTTGAAGTGACCAAATTCCCCTCGAAACCCAACAGAGCGGAGAGGGAATTCCAGGGGCCCTGGTGTGGGCTGGAAATACTTCATTGTAATCACTTTGGGGGTGATCAGTGGGATAGGAGAGGCAACGGGTGCTGGAGAAGTATGGGCCTGCACAGCGTTGCTTTTTGATTTCAATGGTGTTTTATAGGCTGTTAATTTGATGGGATCTCCAGTGGGGTATAATAACCTAGAAACACCTCGGGTTCGGGAGGAAAGCTGGGGTGGGAGGCAAGCGACAGCTCGGGATCCCATCCAATCCCATCCCATCCCATCCCATCCCATCCCATCCCATCCCATCCCATCCCAGGTGTGTGTCCAGGTGGAGCGCAGGCAGCAGCGCCTCCGTGCAGAGCCTGTGGGTGACCTGGTCCTTAAATCCCCATGGATCACTGTGCTCAGCCCCCCATGCTCTTGTCTGCTCCATGGGATGGTGATCCAGGACATCCTCCCCTTGTGTGGCACAGGGAGCGTGGTCTGACTGTGGCATGGGCTCAGCTCGGTGGGGCTGCCTTTGTGTGGATTCAGCCTGCCTGAGCAGGGGCACCGCATCCTTCCCTCCCTCCTGGGTCCGTCCTGCCCTTGCCCTCTGCTGACACTGAGAGGTGGCTTCATGTCTTTGTCCCCTCCTTTTCCAGACGCTGGGCAGGCGAAGCTGCTTGACCACGCCGTGCTGCTGCAGGTGATCAAAGAACAGCAGGTACAGCACAAGCAGCTGCTTGACCACCAGGCAAAGCTGCTGGCTGTGATCGAGGAGCAGCACAAGGAGATCCACCAGCAAAGGCAGGAGGAGGGAGGAGAGGAGAAGCCAAAGCAAGGTGAGGACATGGTCAAAGAACACAGCCCCTCCATGGGCAGATCCCTGCTCAGAGCAGCTGTAATGTCACAGAACCCCAGCCTGGTTTGTGTTGGAGGGACCTTAAAGCTCCTCCAGCTCCAACCCCTTCCACTGGAGCAGCTTGCTCCAAGCCCCTGTGTCCAACCTGGCCTTGAGCACTGCCAGGGATGGGGCAGCCACAGCTTCTCTGGGCACCCTGTGCCAGCACCTCAGCACCCTCACAGGGAAGAGCTTCTAAGAGCTCAGCTCAGTCTCCCCTTGGACAGGTTCAAGCCATTCCCCTTGGCCTGCCCCTACAGACCCTCGCCCAAAGCCCCTCTCCAGGTTTCCTATAGTCAAGCTGACCAAGAGAAATCCCAATCCCTTTGGCATATGGCAGTCATGCAAAAGCCACTCCTGTGCCTGTGGTGGGGTTCCCAGCCCCTGTGCACACTCTCCCCGCTGCTCCCCTCCTTCTCCCACATGGCCATTGATGGTGTGACCTCTTCTCCTGTCCCGCTGTGGCAGGAGACACGGGTAAGGTAAAGCTCTGATGTGCCCTTTCCTTCCGCAGCAGAGACGCAGCAGGAGCCCGCTGTGCCCCTCTCCAGGAGCAGGGAGGACGAGGGCCTTGGGGTCAAGCAGGAACCTGCTGCAAAGGTGCTGAGCAAGAAGCAGCCGGAGCAGCCAGCACCGGGCCTGGGCAGGGAGCCTGACTCCACTGAGCAGCGCAGGGGGACTGCGGGGAAGCAGGAGGAGGCTGGGAAGAGCCGTGACCTTCCGGAGGTCCCTCCCAAGGAGAGGAAGGTGCTGCCGCAGGAGAAGGACAGAGGGGCTAAAAACCCCATGGAGAACAGGGATGCCCAACACATTCCAGCAGGCAGAAGCCACCCAGAAAAGAAGCCGTTGGTGGAGGGTTTGGGAGGAGAGCACGAAGCCAAAGCTGCAAGAGACATCCACACCAAGAATAATTCCCTGAAAGCCGTGGAAGTAGCGACAGCTCCCATGCAAAGAGAACAGCTCGGGGCTGCCAAAGTTCAGGGAGCAGCAGGAAAGAGTCTGGAAAGAGACTCAGGAAGAGCCCTTAAAGCCAAAGCACTGAGTCAGGTGGAGCCCAAGGACCTGGCAGTTGTGCTGGACTCCTCCAGCAAGAGGAATGTGGCAGAGAGTGAGCAGCATCCGAGAGCTGCACGCACTGAGGGAGCTGAGGGCGGTGGCAGGCAGCAGGACCCAGCTGGCAATGGGGACACGAAGGAAGAAGCTCCTCGGGATAACGGGGTTGATGCGGCCCAGGCCCCGCAGGATGGGCTGCGGAGCAAGCAGAGGCACGGGGATGGAGGAGGCTCAAACGATGGGGAGAAGAAACCAGCCCTTGAGAACGCTCCGGCCCCAAAGGCAGAGCAAGGAGCTGCCCAGGGGGACCAGAGGCTGGACCACGACATCAAACCCAACCGGGACCTGAAGCTGCAGGCGGAGCTGGACCTGCGGCGGCGCAGGCGGGAGCTGCTGCCTCCCGACGAGGAGGAGGAGGAGGATGGGGAGGATGCGCGGGGCGCCGGGGTCTTGATCGGCCTGAACCCCCTGCCCGATGTGAAGGTGAACGACCTGCGGAGTGCACTGGAGACGCGGCTCCACGTGGAGGGGGCTCCGCAGGTCCTGCACAGCCGCCAGATCAGGCAGGTACCGGGGCCGGACACTGCGTGAGGGGCGGCCACGGGGCTCAAGGGAACCAGATGGGGTCTGGCCGCTGTTGGCGGTGCTTGGTCTCCTTGCTGGGTGCAGCCCATGGGGGCTCCTCGGAGCTGTGAGCACCGGGGGCTTCTTGGTGGCACCTCCCTGTGTGCAGCCCTGAAAGCAAAGCTGCTCTCTGCTGCCTTTCAGAGGCTGCCATCCGCCTCCGCTCCCTGCCGGCCCTCAAGGACCTGCTCAGCATCTCCTCCATATCGAATTGCCTTCTCCATCCAGCTCCCAACCCCTTTCGTTACCAAGGTGGCATCCATGAGGTTCCCCTGCCTGCTTGGGCTCCGTCACTGAGGCTGTGGGGCAGAGCGCAGGGGCTGCAGGAGGGGAACCAGGGGATTGCTCCTTATGGGGATGGAGAAGCACCAAGCCCCAAGGTGAGGACCAGCTCAGCCGATTGCCTCGGTGTTTCTCCTCAAACGGGAGCTGTTAATCCTGCATGTGTAGGAGATAGTTGTGGTTTAGGAACCCGGTTTAGTAGGAACGCTGCCTTAAATGGGCACAACCACTGCTGTTGTGCTGCCTCTTCTCCCAGGGACTCGGTTGGGGGCCACACACTAGCAATAACGCAGAGCTTTGCTCTCCCCCGTCCCCAGATGCTCAACTCTCTGCTCTCAAGCTTGACTTCTCCCATCCAAAGTGCATTAGGAAGCTCAGCCCGGGGGCTGCACATTCCTGCTCCCCCTTCCTTTTTCCATAAGGAATGACTCATTTGGGAACAAGCGGCTTGGCAGGGCAGCCACGGGGCTCAGCTCAAGCCTACCTACCTCTTCTCTCCGCAGCACAGTGTGCTTTGTGCATTCTGCCAGCCTCTCCCCTGTGTTTGCCATCCATAGATGTCAGTGCTCTGCCCCTGGAAATGCGTTTGAGGAGCCAGGAAGGGAAGAGCTGCTCTGGGAGCCCTGGTTGGGTTCAGGCTCGCAGCGCTTCATCCCTTTGGTGGTGGTGGTGATGGGGGGGTTGGTTTGGTTTGTTGTCACATCCTGACTTGTGAATGTAAGAGATCAAATCCCAAAGCTCTCCCCAGAAGGGCTGAAACTTCCCAGCCTGGAGCCTCCAGACCTCATCACTGTGCTGGTTTTTATGGCTGCATCTCAAAGTGTCCTGGGTCCAGTCGCCTCGATGCGTTTGTGTCCAATGGGAGCGCATGGGGTCGGGATGGGTGGTTCTGGGCACTCGGGAATGCCGCTGCCGCGTGCCTGTCACTGGAAGGATCTTAATTCCCCATTAAAACAACACGGAGCCACAGGGCAACAGCCACAGACTTGGGGGGGACCCCCCCCGGCTGCTTCCCAGTGACTCTCATGGCCTTAACCCTCAGGGCTGTCCCCGTGGTACAAAGCTGCATCTCCATGACGCTGGCCCAAAGCACAAGCAGCGCAGCCGGCATCCGGTGCCGCTCCATGGGGAGCTGGAGCTGGATCAGCCCCTTGTTACCTGTGGGCAGGGTGAGGGTCACCTCTGCCCGTGTCTGTGGGCGTGAAGCCTCTGCGTGCACACAAAGGACCAAAGATGCTCCCGACATTCCCATGGGCATCCCAAGCTGGGTGGGAAGGGGGAACCGCTGGTATGGGATGGGATGCTGGGGGGCGGGGGGGGGGGTGAGGCTGAGCCGGTAATAAAATGAGCTGAAGCATTTTGATCCACATTCTCTTATTAAACAGACACCAGCGGCCTGCCCGGGCGCGGGGCTGCAGCCGCAGGCAGGGAACGCGGGGTTTATGCTTTGAGGACATCTCGATGTTGAGTGAAGCAGGAGCTCACCCGGAGCCGGGAACGGGGCTGGATCACGGGATGGAGACCGGGGAGAGGCCCAAGGGGCTCCGGGAAGCAGCAGCAGCGGCTGCCCCCGCCCGGGTCGGGGCGGATCTCGGTCCCCTCCAGCAGCTCCGGTGCCGGACGAACCGGGCCGGGTTTGTGTCCGGTGCGCGGGCGGGGGGCGCCGGGGCCGGCACCGCCTCACTTCGGCGTCGCCTTCGCCTGCAAAGAGCCGCGGTTAAGAGCGGGCCGAGGCCCCGCAGCGGGACCGGGATGGGACCGGGACCGGGACGGGACCCACCGCCCGCGCGAAGCAATCCCGCAGCGCCCGGAACTCCTCCAGACACGTGTCCCGCCGCAGCTCCCCCGCCGCCGCCGCCGCCACGCACCGCCCGTAGGCGGCTGCCTGCAGGGAACGACACGGAGCGGCTCTCACCGAGCCCCCTCACCGGGACCGGCCCCGGTGCCGGTGCCCCCGCCCCGCCGCGGCCCCACCTGCTCCCCGCAGCCCGACAGCAGCACCGGGAAGCGCCGCAGCCGCGCCCGCGCCCGCAGCCACACGCCCCGGCCCGACATGGCTGCTGCCGCTGCCGCCGCCTCACGGCCTGGGCGCCGCCATAGTGGTACAGCAGCGATTGGCTGCCTGAACTGCTCGTCACAGCGATAAGCGTTCTGATTGGGAAACGATGAACGCCCGCCCACCGGCTCGCTGATAGGAGAATGGTGCGCCAATCAAACAGCGCTGGATCTCTGATTGTGTGCTGGGGGAAGGTCGTCCTCCCGCCCTTCCCGGGTTGGACAGATCGGCTTTTCGTAAGCGTGGATTGGTCAATCGCGGCCCCGCCTCCCGAGCCCCTCCCGATTGGTGCAGGTACCGGTTGTTTACGTCCTATCTCCCGCCCTCTCGCCGCCGGCATCAATCTCCTGAACCACTTCCTCCCAGAGCTCTGCCCTTCCTCGCCGGTGATTGGTCCGAGCGGCAGCTTCTCGCACTCTCATTGGTGTTCAGCGCCCTGCGGGGGGCGGAGCCGCGAGGCCGGGCAGGGACCGGCGTTGAGGCTGTCATGGCGGCGCCGCTGCGGGACCGGTTGAGCTTCCTGAGCCGGGTACGGACCGGGCCTGGGGCGGGGAGCAGGGGGGGGCCCGGTCCCTGTCCCACCGCCCCTCACCCTCCTGCTTGTCCCGCAGCTGCCGGTGCTGCTCAGGGGCACCGCGGACGACGACGCGCCCTGCCCCGGGTACCTGTTCGAGGAGATCGCCAGTATCCTTCCATGGGCGGGCGGGAGGCCGGGGCGGGGGTCCCGGGACCGGGGGAGCGGGGGGCTTAGAGCCGGTGTCAGGCGGGGAAGGGGCCGCGGTGCCGGCCGTGGGGAGCAGGATCCTTCACCGGGCCGCAGAGATCTCGCACGAGTCGGCCGGCAGCAGCCAGTGCCTGCTGGAGTTCCTGCTGGGCCGGCTGCAGAGCGGCTCCTGCCACGTCAAGCTGAAGGTACGGGGGGTGCGGAGCCCCGGGGCTGGGCCCTGCTGGGGCAGCCGTGACCCCCGCTCTGCCCGCAGGTGCTGAAGATCCTGCTGCACACCTGCACGCAGGGCTCCCCGCAGTTCCTGCTGCAGCTGAAGGGCAGAGCCTGCTTCATCCGGGAGGCCGCAGGTAACGGGGGTCCGGAGGCTGAGCCCTGCTCCTGCCCCGTGCTGGGAGCCGGGCTCACCCCCAGCGCTCCTTGGTCCTTGCAGTGTTCACTGGGCCCCCGGATCCCCTGCACGGCAACAGCTTGAACCAGAAGGTCCGTGTGGCCGCGCAGGTGAGCGCCAGCCCCGCTCCCGCTGTGCCGGGCTCTGTGCGGGGCCGCAGGGCAGCTCTGCCCCTGGACCCCACGCAGGGCTCCCTGCTGCCCCCCAGCCCTTGCTCCGCTCTCCCGGCAGGACTTGGCCACGGTCCTGTTCTCGGATGCGCCGCTGCCCCCGCCCGCTGCCCCCTCTGCCCGTCCCCTGCCTCCCGCGGGTGAGTGCGGCCCCATCACCCCCATGGGCACGGTGCCTTTGGCTGGAGCTGTGGTGTGCAGAGGGTGCCTTGGCCAGGGGGGCTGTCGGGGTGAGGACTGGGTGCCCCAGCCCTGGTGCTGGGCGCTTGGCTGCTTCCCCTGCCCCACTGCTGGGGATGTCCCATAGCTCTCGGGGAGCAAAGGGGCACTGCCCTGCACCCTGCACTTCCAAAGGGGGGAACAGCAGCGGAGGGGGACCCTGTTTGTGCTTTATGGCTCCCCCAGGCATGGGCTCCAGCTCCAGACCCTGCGGCTCCTTGCAGGGATTTGGCTACAGCACTGAGAGAAGCTCTGGTGAGTCCTGGTGCTGCCCCTTGTGCATCCCCTGCTCGGTCCCTGCTGCGGCCCTGGGTCCTGCCTGGGCTCAGAGCAGGCTCCCAGCACCCGGTGACACCTGCGTGGTTCCCGGCTCTCGGTGGGTGTTCATGGGTGGCTCTGCTGTGTCAATGCCCACTGCCCATCCCTGTGGCACATCCCAGCAGCTCCCAGCTTTCCTCACCCTTCCATATCCAGCCACAAGCCTGGTCTGTGCCCGAGGGGGGGGGTCCCCGCTGTCCCCTGCAGGGTACTGGGTGCCCTGGGGCTCCTGGCAGTCACCTCTTGGCTTGGCCGTGCCCAGGTTCCCCAGGGGAAGCCCTGCTCAGCACCATCCAGCGCGCGGCCGAGGCTGTGGCCCACGCTGTGCTCCCGTCCCCGGGGGGGCACCGGCCGCGCCATGGGGACCTCCATGAGGACACCTACGAGCCCGTGAGAGCCCCATCACCGCCCCGGAGCCCCGCCACGGCCGGGAAGCCACCAGCAGCCACCGCAGCGCAGGGCACCCGGGGTAGGTCCCCCCCATGCTGGGCTGGGGCAGCTCCGGGGGGGGGTCCCCATGCGGGGCTGTTTGGGGTCAGCGCATCCCTGCTGTGTCCCTGCAGTGAGGCACCAGCCGGGGCTCGCCGGAGGAGGCTGGGAGGAGGCCGACAGCGGGCACAGCTCGCAGGACTCCTCGCAGGGCATCGGGGACCTGAGCCGCACCTCGGACTCGGGCAGCAAATCAGGCAGCGACAGCCACTGCGGAGCCAGCCGGGAGCTGAGCCAGGCGGCCGAGAGGTGGGAGCAGGGGGGCTCGGGGGGTCCCCATCACCTGGGGCCCTCTGAGGTGCTCCCCTCTTCCCCCGGAGCCCTGCCCTCCTTTCCCACACCGTTAATCCAGAGCCTCCGGTCTGCTCCTCATGGGATGTTTGTGCAGAGCCAGGGGCAGGGGAGGTGTTGGGGTGATCCCAGCCCACAAAAGGTGTGGGGGGGTCTACACTGGAACCCCATGGGGGAGCAGGGCTGGCTCCTGTCCCCACCAAGGCGTGTCCTGGTGCAGGGTGGATGCTGACAGCCTGGGTGACTGCGTGCGGGAGGTGAGCCTGGTGTCAGCGCTGACCCGCGGCGCCAGGGTCTTCCTCACCAGGGAGGAAGCACAGCACTTCGTCAAGGAGTAAGTGCCCCGAGAGGCCCATGGGTGCTGTGGGGCTGGGTGGGGGGCTTCCAGGAGCAGCCTGAGCCCTTCTCACCCCCTTGGCTGCCTTGGCACGGACCTTGGGGCTGAAGTGCAGGATGGGGTGGGTCCTGGTGCAGCCGGTGCTGCCCTAACCCCTGTCCCATGGGCAGGTGCGGGCTGCTGAACTGCGAGGTGGTGCTGGAGCTGCTGAGCCGGGCGCTGCAGGACCCCAGTGACAGCGTCCGCATGGTGAGCATGGCACGGCCCTGCTGTGCGCCCGCATTGCCAACAGGGTGCCCGGTGCTGCCCGCCCCGGCTCAGCATCGCTCTCCTCCTGCAGAGGTCCATGGGTGCCATCTCCTCCCTCATGTGCTCGGATCTGCTCTCCCTGGACCAGATCTTCGCCGTGACACGGCAGCAGCTGCAGCAGCTCAGCCAGGGCAGCCCCGGCCCTGTCGCCAACCGAGCAACCAAGGTGACTCCTGGGGTGTCCCCATGTCCCCTGCCCAGGGCAGCTCCCAGGCAGTGGCTTTCCCATCCTCGGAGACACCCAGCCCTTGGGAATGGTTCCATGGGTGTGCCAGGGGGTGGGAATTGTCCCTCTCCCCCAGGAGCAGGGAGCCTGGAGGATGTGATCCTCAAGAGCCAGGTCTGGACCCCAGGGCAGTCTCTACTGGGAAAGGGCTGGGGCTGTATCCTCCTCCCGATGCCGTTCTCATTCCAACCCACCCCACTCTTCTTGCAGATCCTGCGGCAGTTCGAGGCTCTCTGCAGGGGCCACCCCTCCCCAAAGGGCACCCACCTGGACTTGGACCCTTCCGGCCTCTCCTCGGGCTCAGCCCCGTGCCCTGGGGACCTGCTGCTGGACATCCCCCCCCTGCCTGGCCAGAGCATCCTCACCCCGCTGAGCGCAGCCCCGCTGCCCGGTGCCTGCAGCCAGGAGGCAGGGGTGGAAGCAGAGACCCTTGGGCAGGCCGGTGCCGCGGTGCCAGCCGGTCCCTGCGGGCAGGAGGCGGTGAGCAGGGTGCTGGAGGATGCGGTGGGTGCCCCTGCACTGTCCCACAGCCTGTCCCTCTTTGCTGGCATGGAGCTGGTGGCTCCTCCCAGGGCCGGGCTGCACCCGGACTCTCCCCCTGCAGAGCCGCAGGCACCGTCCCAGCCCCGCATGGACACAGAGGGTGAGCAGCAGCCGTCGGTCTTCGCCTTCCTCAACATGTAGCTGCTGTGGGGCTCCGGGGGGGCTGCGGGGGCTTTGCCCCCCCTCCCTGCGGGGCCTCTTGTGCCATGGCCCTATGGGCTTGGTGGGAAGGGGGCTCAATCCCCCCGGGTTCCACGTGGGGAGAAGCAAAGAGCAGCCCTGTGTGCCCTGTCCACAGGGACGAGGGAAGGGGCTGCTGGGGGGACACGCAGTGAGCTGTGGCCACCGGGGCCGGTGCTTTGGTCAGGTCATGACACTTCTTGAGCTGCTTTCATTGCCAAAAGCCCCCGTTTGGGGCTGGCAGAGGGGAACGGTGCTGGCACTGGGCTGGAGATGTGCTGGGGCTCACTGGGGGTGGTTTGGGGACCCCAGCACGCCTCTGGGGTGCTCCTGGGTGCCCCCCTGCCTCCCCCAGCTCCAGCCCGGGCAGCCGTGGGGCTGGGGTGAGAGAAGGCACCGGTGCAGTGGGGCCGGGACCCACCAATAAACCCCACACTTGGGTCTGGGCGGTCGTGACTCTTCTTGCGCCGCTGAAGCCGCGTCACAAGCTCCGCCCTTCTCGCATAAGCCCCGCCCCTTGCGGAATCGCATTGGCTCCCTCTTTCTAGGCCACGCCTCCGCCTCTAAGGTCACACCCCATCGCCCCACCCTCCTCCCGCCCCTCTTTCCTCCTCAGCCTATCCGCGCTCTCCTCTTCGCCCCGCCCCTTTCTTCCCATTGGCTGCCACCTCCCTCCACCGCCCACAAGGGCCGGGGCGGGGCGCGTGGCGGCGGCAGGAGCGGGTGCGGGGCCGGGGTCCGGGCCTGCTTTGAGCGGGGGCTCCGGGTACGGAGGGTACCGGGCGGCGGGGCCGGGAGCGGGCGAGCCTCGGGCTGCAGCCCCGGCCCGGGGCCCTGCTC